CTTTGAAGTAAGAATAAGAAATTTGCCATTGTGCCCGGGCCAGGAAAAAAAAAAAGAATTTTGCCATTGTGAGGTCGAAGGTTTCCCAGTACTTTCTGATGAGCTTGATGGTGATATTAACAAATAACTTTTTTTTTTTTTTTTTTTTTTGAGGCGGAGTCCCGCTCTGTCACCCAGGATGGAGTGCAGTGGTGCAATCTCAGCTCACTGCAAGCTCCGCCTCCTGGGTTCGAGCGATTCTCCCGCCTCAACCTCCCGAGTCGCTGGACTACAGGTGTGCGCCACCACGCCCAGATAATTTTTGTATTTTTAGTAGAGACAGGGTTTCACCATGTTGCCCAGAGTGGTCTCAAACTCCTGACCTCAGGTGATCTGCCCACCTTGGCCTCCCAAAGGTGGGAGGCCTTGCTGGGATTACAGGCTGAGCCACTGCACCTGGCCTCTTGTCCTCCGCCCACCTCAGCCTCTTGTCCTTGTGTTTTGCCGTGATGCAATGAACATGTCTTACATTTGTAACCAGAAAAAAAGGTTAGTGTAACAATGCCTGTCCTGTTTTTCCCAGAGTAGACATTATGAAGATTAAAAAAATGTGAAAGTGTTTTGAAAATAATAAACTATGCTATACACACAAAGTTTTAGTGACTAGAAATACAAGTCTATTGTTTGTTGAGACAGGGCCTTGCTCTGTCTCCCAGGCTGGATGGCACAATCATGGCTTACTACAGTCTTGAACTCCTGGGCTTAAGCGATCCTCCCACCTCAGCCTCCAGAGTAGCTGGGACTACAATCGAGCACCACCACACCTGGCTAATGTTTGTATTTTTTGTAGAGAGGGGGTTTCACCATGTTGCCCAGACTGGTCTCAAACTCCTGGGCTCAGACAATGCTCATACCTCAGCCTCCCAAAGTGGTGGGATCACAAGTGTGAGCCACTACACCCGGCTGAGTTTCTGTTGTTTTGAGCCACTTCATTTGTGGTACTTCTTACAGCAGTCACAGGAAACTAAGCAACTGCAGAACATCAAAATTGTTTTTCTTCAGCAAAAGGAGAAGCGCTGGTGGTTGGCAGCAGCTTTTCCTATTCTCACTTCTGCATGGCCACACCTTTGACTGCCTGACGAGTGCACAGCAGGCTGAGGGGAGCAACTGGTTGAGTCAGGCCTCAACCAGATCGTGCCGTATCCCCACCTGCTTTGCTGGACACCCCTGTTTTGGGGGCACCCACTGCTGCCCCAGACACCAAGCAAGCACCAGCTGTGTCCAAAACATACAGGGTCACAGTCTTGGCACGTTTTGTGCTGCTATAACAGAATGCCACAGACTGGGTAATTTAATACGGAACAGAAATTCATTTCCTCAAAGTTTTGGAGGCTGGGAAGTCCAAGAGCAAGGGGCCATCAGGTCAGGGCCTGGTCTCTGCTTCCACTATGGCGCTTTGACCACCATGTCCTCACGTGGTCAGAGAGAGCCGGCTCCCAGGAGCCCTTTTAATGGAGCAGAGCACTGCTGCACTGCGGCTTTAGTTTCCAGTCACTCCAGGCAGACTGTCTGATGTGGTTTTGTAATATGTTCACAGACTGGCCGGGCACTGTAGCTCACACCTGTAATCCCAGCACTTTGGGAGGCTGAGGCGGGTGGATCACCTGAGGTCAGGGGTTCAAGACCAGCCTCACCAACATGGTGAAACCCCATCTCTACTAAAAATACAAAATTAGCCAGGTGTGGTGACACGTGCCTGTAATCCCAGCTACTCGGGAGGCTGAGGCTGGAGAATCGCTTGAACCCAGGAGGTGGAGGTTGCAGTGAGTCGAGATCATGCCATTGCACTCCAGCCTGGGCAACAAGAGCAAAACTGTCTCAAAAAAATAAAATAAAATAAAATAAATAAAATAAAATAAATAACATAACATAACATAACATAACATAACATAACATAACATAACATAAAATGCATTCACAAGGCCGGGCATGGTGGCTCATGCTTGTAATCCCAGCTACTTGGGAGACTGAGGCAGGAGAATCGCTTATAACCTGGGCGTTGGAGGTTATAGTGAGCTGAGATCATACCACTGCACTCCAGCCTGGGCAACAAGAGTGAAACTCTGTCTCAAAAAAGTAAAATAAGGCTGGGCGCGGTGGCTCACACCTGTAATCCCAGCACTTTGGGAGGCCAAGGCGGGTGGATCACTAGGTCAGGAGTTCGAGACCAGCCTGGCCAACATGATGGAACCCCATCTCTACCAGCCTGGCCAACATGGGGAAACCCTGTCTCTACTAAAAATACCAAAACAAGCCAGATGTGGTGGTGCATGCCTGTAATCCCAGCTATTCAGGAGGCTGAGGCAGGAGAATCACTTGAACCCAGGAGGCAGAGGTTGCAGTGAGCCAAAATCGTGCCACTGTTCTCCAGCCTGCACGACAGAGCAAGACTCTGTCTCTAAATAAATAAATAAACAAAATAAGAAAATAAAATATGTTCACATCCTTTGACATTCCTCACCTCAAAAGCTGGAACCCAACTCCCTCCTAAGCGTAAGTCTTCTCATGACTCGCTTCTAACAGCAGAACCCAGAGGATACTGGGTTCCTCCCAATATCCCCCCACCCAGCGACCCCCACGCAGGTCGCTGGCTCTGGGGGACCCAGAGCCATGTTTCAAGGACACTCCAGGCAGCCCCTGGATCGTCCATGTGGTGAGGAATGAAGGCCTCCTGCCTGCAGCCTTGGGAGGTAGCCTTCTCAGAAGAGGATGCCCCAGCCCCTGCCCAGCCTTCAGATGGCCAGGACCTCGGCCAGCGTCCTGACTGCAACGTCATGAGAGACCCCGAGCCAGAAACCCCCAGCTTTTGTACTCCTGACTTATGGGGACTGACAGATAATGTTCGTTGTTAATTAAGGGGTGACTTGTCACACACAATAGGTCACTACACAGCTCTGTCTGGCCTCCCAGGAGGAGCCTGCCTTTCCTTTTCTTCATGGGAAAAGTGTGATCAGTTTGTGAAGGAGTTTCTGCCCCCAGTTGATGCCCGAGGCTCCACCTGGCGACCGTCACACACTCGGTCTGCCCCTCTGGCGACCGTCACAAGCTCCGTTTGCCCCTCTGGTGACTGTCACGAGCACCGTCTGCACCTCAGTGCCTTGCCAGGCCCTCGGCCTGCGATCAGCCTGGTCTTGTGGGAGGCCAAGGCCCACGTGTGTTCGTGTGTAGTGTGTGTGTCTGTGTGTCTGTGCGTGCCCAGGATACAGGGATGCCATATACAAGTGCTTTCAATGTTGTGTGGCATGCATGCATCTGTGTGCCCAGGATACAGGGATGCTGTATACAAACACTTTTTTTTTTTTTTTTTTGAGACAGTCTCGCTCAGTTGCCCAGGCTGGAGTGCAGTGGCGCGATCTCGGCTCACTGCAAGCTCTGCCTCCCGGGTTCACGCCAGTCTCCTGCCTCAGTCTCCGGAGTAACTGGGACTACAGGCACCTGTACCACGCCCGGATAATTTTTTCTTTTTTTTTTTTTTTTGAGACGGAGTCTCGCTCTGATGCCCAGGCTGGAGTGCAGTGGCGTGACCTTGGCTCACTGCAACCTCCGCCTCCCAGGTTCAAGCGATTATCCTGCCTCAGCCTCCCACATAGCTGGGATTATAGGTGCCCGCCACCACGCCCGGCTATGCCGCCCAGGCTGGAGTGCAGTGACATGATCTCGGCTCACTGCAGCCTCTGCCTCCCAAGTTCAAGCGATTCTCCTGCCTCAGCCTCCCGAGGAGCTGGGACTACAGGCTCCCGCCACCACGCCCGGCTAATTTTTTTGTATTTTTAGTGGAGATGGGGTTTCACCGTGTTAGCCAGGATGGTCTCGATCTTCTGACCTCGTGATTCACCCGCCTCGGCCTCTGAAAGTGCTGGGATTACAGGCGTGAGCCACTGTGCCCGGCCAATTTTGTATTTTTAGTAGAAACGGGGTTTCACCATGTTGGTCAGGCTGGTCTTGAATTCCTGACCCCAGGTGATCTGCCCGCCTCAGCCTCCCAAAGTGCTGGGATTACAGGCCTGAGCCACCACAACCGGCCCAGGATGTCTTTTTACTTTTTATTACTCCATCCCCCATCCTGGGTCCAGACCTGTGATAGTGAACAACCGCTGTCTAGAGGTGAGTGGGGCGAGTGGGGCGAGTGGGGTGAGGAGTGGGATGAGTCGGGCGAGCGGGGCGAGGGGGGCGAGCGGGGTGAGCGGGGCTAGTCCACAGAACAGTGAGGTGCAGCCCCAGGGGTCTCGCAGCCTCCGCCCCCGTGTCAAGAAGTCCCACAGCCTAGAGGCTCCAGCCTCAGAGGCAGAATTAGGACCTGCCCTTTCCTCCTGAGCAGCGGGCCAGAGTCCTGAACAACAGGAAGCCCCTGAGGAGAGCTCCGCCCTGAGGGAGGGCAGGGCCCCCGCCAGCCCCACCCACAGCAGCGGGCCCTCCCCCTATCACCCTGACGCCTCACCCCCTGGATTCCAGAGAGGAAAGTGGGCTTTTGTGTAGTTTACATGCTCATATCTTTTTTTTTTTTTTTTTGAAACGGAGTCGCCCAGGCTGGAGTGCAGTGTCGCGATCTTGGCTCACTGCAAGCTCCGCCTCCCAGGTTCCCACATTCTCCTGCCTCAGCCTCCTGAGTAGCTGGGACTACAGGCGCCGCCACCACGCCCGGCTGATTTTTTGTATTTTCGGTAGAGACGGGGTCTCATCATGTTAGCCAGGATGGTCTCGATCTCCTGACCTCGTGATCTACCTGCGTCAGCCTTCCAAAGTGCTGGGATTACAGGCGTGAGCCACCGCACCCGGCCTGACATGCTCATATGTTAAAATCACCACTGTCACTAGAACAATTCATAATCATGGTGATAAAATAAGATTTATAACCAGCCTCAGTCAGGAGATACACACAGAGCAGATCCTCACTCCCAGACAGGGAGCCTGCAGCTGCCCCCGAGCCCACAGGTGCAGGACACACACAGACAGTTCAACCATGTCTTAAACACACAGGTGTTTATTGTTCATTTGATTTAATTTTTAAGTTCACTTTACTACGTGGATGAGATGGGTGCATATTACACTAGGCTTTCGCTATGAGAGCTGCCACCGTGAGGAGAATCCCAGCCCTCAGTTCTGCTTCCCTTTCTGAGTCCCACAAAAGCCACACGTGGGCAGCCTTGGGTTCCCATCCCAGCTGGCTGCTCCCTCTGGGGCTGTCTCGGTGGGGAGAGGGAGATGGGGCAGTGGGTCCCTGCTGACCCCTGAGCCCTGCAGGGGTCAGGATCCTCCCATAGTCCCTGGTGTGGCCCTGGAAGACGCTGGCAGTGCCTGGCCAAGGCCTCCCGCAGGATGGAAGCTGAGGGCCCTGGCTCTGGGTCCTAAGAGAACTCAGCTGCCCCCTTCACATTTTACAGCAACGGGCCAGGCAGCAGCTTTGGGATGGGGCCTCCGTGGGGAAGTGGGGGATGCTGCAGTGGTACAAAGACAGCCTCCCCTACCCCCGTCCTCCAGATGACCGTCCTCCAAGGCCAGCACTGGGCATCCAAGGGAGAGAAGGAATCCAGCCCAGAAGGTGTGGGCAGGAGAGGCCTGGAGTCAGGCCTCGACCCACAGCCCCCTCTGGGTGCCGAGTGGGAAGGGTGTGGGGGGTGGCTTGTGAACCTTACCCGCTGCCCTCCCAACCCTGGATCTGTGGGCAGCATCCCACAAAATCCCCCTTAGGGCTCCCTGGGGAGGACTTATGGCTGCCACTTCCACCAGGGCAGAGGGCACAGGAGGGGCCAGCACTCCAAAGGGCTCTAGGCCGGGTCTTACAAAGACATCCGCAAAGCCCTGGTGGGGAGGGTGCGGGGCTGTCTCACCCAGGCGCCTGGGCCAGAGGCTCTTTGGAACTCTCGCACTGCTGAGTGGGGCACTGTCCATGCTGCCCACAACCTCTAGACCATGGCAGCCTGCTCATGGGCCCCTGGCAGAGAATGCCCACTCCCCAGCAGACTCAGGGCAGGCCGCCAACTGCAGGCTTCCAGGAAGGCCCAGGGTGTCCACCTCAGGCCAGGTGGTCTCAGAGGACCCCTGTGCAACCACATTAAGGAGAGCTGCAGCCCCCACCCACCTGCCTGCCAGTTCAACGAGCTCCCGCTTAACAGGCAGGCTCCCAGGCACCATCACCCCCCTCCCCCGTTGCCCCTCCCGCATGGGGAGCCCCTTCCCCCTGGAAAGACAGCAGGTACCGTAGCCTCGCCTGTTGGCCAGGGGCGCCGGCTCAGAGGACCTGCCCTGACCTGCACATGCTGACCAGACAGCCCAGTGTAAGGACCCGCGATCCCACGCCACCGCCCTGTGTTTACCACGGTCACCACCACCTCTCTCACAAGGCCCCCGGGGACCCAGCCTCGCCCGGCCTGGTGTCTGCACCGAGGGACCGCGTCTCACGCCTGGCGGCTCCTGCAGGGGAAGCCGTGGTCAGCGACTCACCGCAAGGACAGGGCGGGGCGGCTGAGTGCAGAAGAGAAGCATGAAGCTGGGGGCGTGGGTGGGGGAGGAGGAACAAAAGTTGCATCTAGACAGAGGTGAACGAAACAAAACCGAAACCCAAACGTGTTCTGTCGCAGGATGGGCGCCGCCCGTCCCGGGCCCTTAGCCCGACATCTCCTCTCGCTGCTCCTTGTTCCTGCGCACCTCGGCCGCGTGCAGCTCCTGCGGGACAGGGGGCGGGAGGGCCTGAGGGCGGCGGTGGCTTGGGGTGACTCCGGGAACCCGCAGGCGCGCAGGCCTTGGCGCCCTGGCACCCGCCCGGTCTCATCTGGGCTGGCCTCCAGCAGGACCCTGAATTGAGGGGGCGGGAGCACCGGGGAGGCCGAGAGCAGGGCCGGGGCCCAAGGACGGGTTTCCGGGGAGCTGGCTGGGCCCCGCTTCTAGCTCGTACCGGAGCCAAGCTTCCTTCAGAGCACTTTCAATATAAGAATTTAGCCATCTATTACTGCGGCTAGTGACTGTCCCACCAGGGGCTGACTCTGGACCTGCCTCTTGCGCTGCTGGGGACGCCCAGTAAACACAGGATGAGCCCCCGACCCCCACCCCAGCGCAGGGCCTCCGGGTCCCCGGCCCCGCTCTGCGCCCCTCCGAGCTCCGCCCGAACCCCGCCCCCGCCCAGTGCCCCGCCCCCTGTTGGCTACTAGCCCCGCCCCACCCCCGTCCGGTCCGAGTCGCGCTCCTCCAAGCTCCGCCCCCCGCCTTCTGCCCGCCCCGAGCCCCGCCCCGGCCCCGCACCCGCACCTTCTCGCGCAGCCGCTCGCGCAGTGCCGCCAGGTGCGCCTCGCGGATCTCCTTGCTGAGCTCCATCTTGTAGTTGAGCTTCTCCTCCGCCTGCCGGCTGAAGTTGTTGTTCTCCTCCAGTGCCTTGTGCAGCACCTCGCGCTCGTGCTCGCGCCGCTCCGCTAGCTGCTTCAGCACCTGCGCCTCCTGCGTCTGTGCGGGGCGGGCGGGCGCGCGTGAGCGGCGACCCCGGGCCCTGCCAGGCCGGACTCCTCCTCCCTGCTCTCCGCCTCCCGCCCGGCGCCCGCTCGCCTCACCCGGCGCCTCCACCTGCCCAGGCCTCAGTGGGTGCCGGGACCCCCGGGCGCTGCCCTGTGGTCAGGGCAGGACCAGGGGGTCGCGCTCCGCCGCCCCCGCCCCTGCCTCGCGCGCGGGTCCCGCGGTTCTGGCTGCGCCCAGGGCCCCCGCCGCGTCCTGCCGCCACTGCACACCCTGCACTGCGCATCTCCGCCCCCAAAGACCAGCAGCGCAGGAAACCCTAACCTTGTGGGCGGTCTCTGAGCTTTCTTCCTCAGACATCCGCCCACTGAGCAGAGGAGCTGCTTGTTACACACCGGGTTCCGAGCTCCCAATTAGGTGCCCAGGAGCGGAGGAAGGGTCCCCAGGGGTGCTGGGGGAGGGGCCGGCTGGCGACCCCTGGAAGGAGAGCGGAGCAGCAGGACCCGTGCCGATGAGCCAGTCCCTACTAGTCAGCCCTGCGAACCCTGGTCCCTGGTCTCACCAGGAAGGGAACAGGGCCGCCTCCCCTGCCCAGTGCGTTGGCCTCCAGGGTGGCACTCCCAAAAAGGACATTTTTATCTCTGTTCCAGTCTCAGAGGGGCTGGTGGGAGGGGAGGCTGCAGGGAGGGGCCCTGGAGCCCACACCCACCTCTCCCGGGGCTCCTCAGCCCTCCAGCAAGCCTCAGGGTCTTCATATGAAGCCCTCCTCCTGCTTCTCTGTCTGGGAGAGGGATGCCCCACCCGACGTCCCCAGGGCCCCTCTGGGGACCATCCCCTAGCATCCTGCTGGCCATGACTAGGGTGCCTCCCACTCCCACCAGAGGCTCCTGCTCCTTCCAGCTGGCCGCCGCCTCGGAACCCTTCCTCCTCTCCATCCCATTCTTTTTTGTTTTTTGAAATGGAGTCTGGCCCTGTCGCCCAGGCTGGAGTGCAGTGGCGCAATCTCGGCTCATGCATCCTCCACCTCTTGGGTTCAAACAATTCCCCTGCCTCAGACTCCCTAGTAGGTGGGATTACAGGTGCGTGCCGCCACACCTGGCTAATTTTTGTATTTTTAGTAGAGACGGGGTTTCACCATGTTGGCCAGGCTGGTCTTGAACTCCTTACCTCAAGTAATCTGCCTACCTCAGCCTCCCAAAGTTCTGGGATTACAGGCGTGAGCCACCGCACCCGGCCTCTCCTCATCCCATTCATATCTCTCAGGAAGCGGCCCAGGGAGCCACAGCCCCTCCCGCCCCAGGCCAAGGCGCTGACCAAACCCGCCGGGAGCACCCTGTGTCTTGCAGGCCCTGTCCCTGTGGGCCACCTCCGTCGAAACTCCTATGGGGGGTGGGAGGACTCCTTGCCTTCCTCCGCTCCTCAGCTGCTTCCAGCCGCTTTTGCAGCTCCTCCAGGGAGGTGTCCTTCTTCTTGGGTGGCGAGGAGAGCATAGGGCTCTCTGGAGACAGGTCAGAAGGGGACTTGAGGATGACCTCGAAGCTCTGGCCAGAGGCCCGCTTGTCCAGCTGCTTCACCTCCATGTCTGCAAGACCAGAGTAGAGCTTCAGAGGCCCGGCCAGAGCATGGCGTGGGCTGAGCGGGATGCTCCCAGCACACATCCAACCCCAGGGCTGGGTGAAAGCGGGTGGCTGCTCCCGAAGGAATCCCAGGCCTCAGCCCCCAGGATGGGCCCCTTCCCCCCAGCACCTCCCTCTCCGGAGGCAGCCAGGCTGGGAGTTCTGAGACTGCGGGAGACCAGGGAAAAGGCGAGGTGGGCAGGCACTGCAGGGCAGGGCTAACTTTTTGTACTTTTAGTAGAGACGGGGTTTCACCCTGTTAGCCAGGATGGCAGCCGGGCACTCACCCCCGTACTGGTAGATGGTGTTGGGGTGCGGCTGTGTGTAGAAGCAGGAGCAGATGAGTGACAGCACCGACAGCTCCTTCATCTTCTCCTTGTAAGCTGTGGGCACAAGGCTAGGCTGAGCAAGCGCCACTGGGGCCTGCCCACCTGAGGCCCCGTTTTTCCCTCCCCATGGCTGCCTCTGGCATGTCTCTGTGAGACACGGAGCTGCCCAGCACGCTCTCGTGTGTCTCCACACCGCCGGCCCCTTCGTCTCTCCTCCAGCTCTCTTGCTTCCAGACGCTGGCGCTGTCTCCGTGGTGCCCCCTGCTCTCTGTCTCTCTCGCCCTCCGCCTCTCCCCGCTTTTCCTCTGTCTCGGCATTAATGTCTGTCCCATCTTGCACACTGACTTGTTTCTCCATCCTCCTCCCTGCCTGCTGTGATCTGAATGTTTCCATTCCCCAAAACTCATGTTGAAATAGTAACCCCAAGGTGCCGGTTTGTGGAGGTGGGGCACTGGGAGGGAATTAGGCCATGAGGATAGAGCCGTCCTGAGTGGTCCCAGAGGGGGGCTTCAGAGAACTCCCTCACCGTTCCATCATGTGAGGACACAGCCAGAAGATGCCACCTGTCTACGTACCAGGAGGTGAGACCTCTCCAGGCACCAAAGCTGCCGGCACCTTGATCCTGTACTTTCTGGCCTCCAGAGCTGTGGGAAGTAAGTTCCTGTCGTCTATAAACCACTCAGTCTCAGGTACCCGCCCAGACTGACAAAGTCCCTGCCTCTGCCTGTCTGGGTCTCTGTTTACCTTCTGTCTGTCTGACTCTGTCACTGTCGTCGTATCTTTCTGTGTCTCGGGGGTAGCCCCTGACTCTGTCTCTTTCTCTGAGTGCATCTTTCTGTAATTCCTTGTCACTGTGTGTCTTTCTGACCCTTACCTCCCTCTGCACCACTACTTCCCTCTCCCCTCCTCCTCCCTCCCGCTCCCTCATCAGCTCAAGCAGGCAAGAGTAACTCATGACGGGACCAGCACAGAGGCAAACCCTCTGCGGGCAGCACTTTCTTGGGCTGTAAACCCGGATGAAGCCCTCAGACCCTCCTTTCTCCTTCCTGATGATCGTGTGGTCACCCCAAGATGAAGCCAGGCCCTCTCCAGGCACATGCTCTCTGCCCATTTAGGGCTGGGCTTGGGCCACTGATGCCACCATGAACCAAGGGAGGGCAGCTGTCCAGTCAGCCCCACAGCCAGGCCTCTTGCCCATTCAGGTCAAACGAGTGCCCACCAGCCAGTGTCCCTGCCGCCCAACCCACACCAGAAGTAAGCCGGGCTGCTGTAGCCGTGTGCCCTGTCAGGGGAAGGGGAAGGTGTCTGCTCTTGCAGTGAACATAATTTAGCTCTTTTTGTCTATTCAGGGCGAGCCTCGCTCCTAAACAGACACTCTGGCCTGGTTTCTCACTAGTGCTCAACAATTATCTTGGCTGGGCGCAGTGGCTCACAACTGTAATCCCAGCACTTTGGAAGGCTGAGGCAGATGGAACACCTGAGGTCAGGAGTTTGAGACTAGCCTGACCAACATGGTGAAACCCGATCTCTACTAAAAATACAAAAATTAGCCAGGCGTGGTGGCAGGCACCTGTAATCCTAGCTACCTGAGAGGCTGAGGCAGGAGAATCGCTTGAACCTGGGAGGCGGATGTTGCAGTGAACCAAGCTCGTGCCATTGCACTCCAGCCTGGGCGACAGTGAGACTCTGTCTCAAAACAGAAAGAAAAAGAAAAAGGGAGAGGGAGAGAGAGGGAGAGGGAGAGAGAGAGAGACAGAGAGAGAAGGAAATGAAGAGAGGAGGGAGGGAGGGAGGGAAAGAGGGGAGGGAACGGGAGAGGAGACAAAGGGAGACACAGGGCAGAAGTAATCGACCTTTCATGGTGAGCTGGGTCTTCCTGTGACAGTGCAGAGAACAGTCTGTCCTGGTCTAAATTTCCTAGTGACCTACACTTTTCTGGACAGAGCAGCACAGAGCCCAAGAGGGTGTAAGGAGGAACAGAAAGGAATCCCAGGGTGGACAGGCCCGCGTGAGAGCCTCTGGGGGAAGGATGGAGCCTTTGAGCCGGGAAGCGGGAAGCGAGGCAAAGCTACCTGTCTTGCTTATCGTCTTCAGGGAGGGAAGTGGAGGGGGACCGGGTGGGGAAGCCTCACAGGGGACTTTGACCTGACTTGTCAAATTTTATTTTATTTTATTTTTTCCTTTTTGAGACAGAGTCTCACTCTGTTGCCCAGGCTGGAGTGTAGTGGTGCAATCTCGGCTCACTGCAACCTCCACCTCCCGGGTTCACGCCATTCTCCTGCCTCAGCCTCCCGAGTAGCTGGGACTACAGGCGCCCGCCACCACGCCCGGTTAATTTTTTTGTACTTTTAGTAGAGATGGGCTTTCACTGTGTTAGCCAGGATGGTCTTGATCTCCTGACCTCATGATCCACCCGCCTCGGCCTCCCAAAGTGCTGGGATTACAGGCGTGAGCCACCACACCTGGCCATCAAGTTTTATTTTTTCACATGCAAAATCCATTCATGTATTTTTTATTAAAAGTTAATTTATTTTATTTTGAGACAGAGTCTTGCTCTGTCGCCAGGCTGCAGCACAGTGGTGCGATCTTGGCTCACCGCAACCTCCGCCTCCCAGGTTGAACCGATTCTCCTGCCTCAGCCTCCCGAGTAGCTGGGACTACAAGCACCTGCCATGCCTGGCTAATTTTTGTAGTTTTAGTAGAGACAAGGTTTCACCATGATGGCCAGAATGGTCTTGATCTCCTGACCTCATGATCCGCCCGCCTCAGCCTCCCGAAGTGCTGGGATTACAGGTGTGAGCCACTGCACCTGACCTACTTTATTTTTATTTTTTTTTAGACGGAGTCTCGCTGTGTCGCCCAGGCTGGAGTGCAGTGGCGCGATCTCGGCTCACTGCAAGCTCCGCCTCCCGGGTTCACGCCATTCTCCTGCCTCAGCCTCCGAGTAGCTGGGACTACAGGCGCCCGCCACCACGCCCGGCTAGTTTTTTTTGTATTTTTAGTAGAGACGGGGTTTCACCATGTTAGCCAGGATGGTCTCGATCTCCTGACCTCGTGATCCACCCGCCTCGGCCTCCCAAAGTGCTGGGATTACAGGCTTGAGCCACCGCGCCCGGCCTACTTTATTTTTTAGAGACAGGACTGTGCTCTGTTTCTCATGCTGGAGTGTAGGGCGCAGCTGTGCAGCTCACTGCAGCCTTGAACTTCTGGGCTTGACTGATCCTTCCACCTCAGTAGCTGGGACTGCAGGTGCACGCCAGCACACCAGCTTTTTTTTTTTCTTTTTTCAATCTCAGCTCACTGCAAATTCCGCCTCCTGAGTTCAAGAGATTCTCCTGCCTCAGCCTCCTGAGTAACTGGGATTACAGGCACGTGCCACCATGCCCGGCTAATGTTTGTGTTTTTAGTAGAGACAGGTTTCGCCATGTTGGTCAGGCTGGTCTCAAGCCGCCACGCCCGCCCGGCCTACACACCAGCTTTAAAAAAAAAAAATCTTGTAGTGGTACCGAGGCTGGGCACGGTGGCTCATGCCTGTAATCCCAGCACTTTGGGAGGCCAACGTGGGCGGATCACGAGGTCGGGAGTTCAAGACCAGCCTGACCAACATGGTGAAACCCCATCTCTGCTAAAAATACAAAAGTTAGCCGGGCATGGTGGCAGGCACCTGTAGTCCCAGCTACTCGGGAGGCTGAGACAGGAGAATCGCTTGAACCTGGGAGGCAGAGGTTGCAGTGAGCCGAGATTTCGCCACTACACTCCAGCCTGGGTGACAGAGTGAGACTCCATCTCAAATGTATATGTATGTATAGTAGTGCTGTGTTGCCCAGGCTGGTCTTTTTTTTTTTTTTTTTTTTTTTTAAAGACGGAGTCTCACTGTGTTGCCCAGGCTGGAGTGCAGTGGCCAGATCTCAGCTCACTGCAAGCTCCGCCTCCCGGGTTTACACCATTCTCCTGCCTCAGCCTCCCAAGTAGCTGGGACTACAGGCGCCTGCCACCTCGCCCAGCTAGTTTTTTGTATTTTTTTAGTAGAGATGGGGTTTCACCATGTTAGCCAGGATAGTCTTGATCTCCTGACCTCGTGATCTGCCCGTCTCGGCCTCCCAAAGTGCTGGGATTACAGGCTCGAGCCACTGCGCCCGGCCGCCCAGGTTGGTCTTGAATTCCTGGCCTCAAGGGATCCTCCCACCTCAGCCTCCCAAAGTACTAGGATTATAGGTGTGAGCCACAGTACCTAGCCGATTAAAAATTAATTTTAAAAAGGAGGATGTGATGAGGGAGTTAGAGGGTATGCCAGCCACGTGTTCCACAGCAGCAGGTCAGGAGACGTTGGGGACATTTAGAGGAGCTGAGGAGGTGGCCAGCCCTGTGCTCAGGAGGGCAGGGGAGGGAGAGAGCAAGAGGGAGTTTGGGCTGGGGCAGAACACACCTGGGTCCTGAGAGAGGATAGGAAGGCAGGGACATGGCCCCTCCAGGCCTGACTCTGCCAGCAACCAGCTCCCTGTCAGCAGACTCCAGGCCCCTGTCCTTCAGATCATCCTTCCTTATCATATATCCAAAACTGTGAATGTGGCCAGGCGTAGTGGCTCACGCCTGTAATCCCAGAACTTTGAGAGGCTGAGGCAGGAGGATAGCTTGAGAACAGGAGTTTGAGACCAGCCTAGACAACATGGTGAAACCGCATCTCTACTAAAAATACAAAAATTAGCCGGGTATGGTGACACACGCCTGTGGTCCCAGCTACTCAGGAGGCTGAGGCATGAGAATCACTTGAGCCTGGAAGGTGGAAGTTGTAGTGAGCGGAGATCGCGCCACTGCGCTCCAGCCTGGGCAACACAGTGAGACTGTCTCAAAAAACAAAAACCGGAATGTGTTTACCATAAAGGTCAGAAAATGTGATTAACAGCTGCTCGAAGCCCCTGTCTGCCCTGAGCCCGTGGGAGTGAGGCCTACCCTGTGGTCTGGCTACAGGGAGGAAGGGCAGGCAGATTGGAGGGGGCAGGAGAGCAGGTCAGGAATTGACCAACTCTGGAGAGAGCGACCAAGGGGAAGTCTGCACCCAGAGGGAGGATGCCAAGGCCCCAGACCCATCCAGGCCACCTCTTCACAGACACAGCGGGTGCCAGGGAAGCTCCTGCCCAGAGCCTCGAGGCATTGCTCCCAATCTCTCTCTCTCTTTTTTTTTCTTTTTTCTTTTCATTTTTTTCTTTTTTTAGACGGGGTCTCGCTCTGTCACCCAGGCTGGAGTGCAATGGCACAGTCTGGGCTCACTGCAACCTCTGCCTCCCCAGTTCAAGTGAGTCTCCTGCCTTAGCCTCCTGAGTAGCTGGAATTACAGGCGCACGCCACCATGCCCAAATAATTTTTTGTATTTTTAGTAGAGATGAGGTTTCACCATGTTGGCCAGGCTAGTCTTAAACTCCTGACCTCAGGTAATCCACCCACCTCGGCCTCTCACAGTTCTGGGATTACAGGTGCGAGCCGCCGCACCTGGCCCCTCTGTCTCTTTTGATTCCCTTCTTTCTCACTCACCTCCCATCTTTCCACTTCACTGACTTCAGGGAGTTACAAACGATTCTTGCCATGAGCTGGGCTGGTTTTGTCTCCCTGCTTCTCTTTGTACTAAACATTAGATACCGAGGAAATGCAGATTGGCCTTTTGGATGATTCGTCAGCAGGAGTCAGAAAAAGGCACCTCGTCGGCCTCAAGCAGCAGGCCATAGTAGTGCCCACTCCCAGGGTCACACCTCATAGCCATGCCTCCCTCCTGCCCAGCTGGGTGCCCTTATCAGCCCTCCTCCTTCTTCTTCTTCTTCTTCTTCTTCTTCTTCGTCTTCCTCTTCTTCTTTCTTTCTTTTTTTCCAGAAGGAGTTTCTCCTCTTGCTGCCCAGGCTGGGGTGCAATGGCACAATCTCAGCTCACTGCAGCCTCCCCCTCCCTGGGTCAAGCAATTCTCCTACCTCAGGCTCCCAAGTAGCTGGGATCACAGGAATGTGTCACCACACCTGGCTAATTTTGTACTTTTAGCAGAGAGAGAGGTTTCACTATGTTGGCCAGGCTAGTCTCGAACTCTTCACCTCAGTTTATCCACCAGCCTCAGCCTCTCAAAGTGCTGGGATTACAGGCGTGAGCCACCCTATCAGCCTCACTTCTACCCTCACTTCTACCCTCAGAGGAGGAATGGAGGCTCAGAGCGGGCAAGTGTTCCACCCAGCATCACACAGCATGCCGGGTGAGAGCCCGGTCATGAGCCTGGGCCTGACTGCAGGCTCCTGTTGGGAGCTCACGGAGATGGGGCGTCTGTCCAGAACTGAGAGGCCAGGGGACCACAGTGGCCTCCGACCCCTGGAGGGCCCTGGAGGCTGCTGCTGGCTCCCGCCGGGGGCAGATGGAGGTCACTGTCACCCAGGCTGCCTCTCATGGTGCCAGGAGCCCAGCAGGGTGGGAACCACCAGCCGATTTGCCTTTCCCTGGGCAGGAAACTCAGAAATGTGGCTACACATTCAGGCTGCCTGGCTTGCGGTGAGCACTCATCTCTTATCAGGCAAGCAGCCAAGCACCTTTCCTGAAATATTGAGGCCTCAGAACAGCCCCAGGGGAGGTGCCAGCACTGTCATCTCCACCCAGATAAGGAAACCCAGGTCCTGAGAGGTTCTGCAGCTCCCACAAGACCACACGGCTGGAGGAGGTCAGACTCTGGGGGCTGGAGGATAATGTGAGCAGAGACCACAAAAGAGTGAGGAGCCGAGTACCCGGATGCCCAAACGGCCTCCCCTTCCCAGCTCAGCACCAGGACCGAACCCGTGGGGAGGGACCGTCAGGGAAAGGCTGTCAGGAAAGGCAGGAGGCGGCCCTGGAGAGGACAGAGCTGCCCTCAGAGGCCGGAGGGGAGTCCCCTCTGCTGAGAGCCTCCCAGGATCCCTGGGGGTGTCCGGGAGGAGGCGGAGGGAGGAGGCGCAGATGGACAGGACTCCCAGATAGGGTGGGGAGGTGTGGTCGGTGACACACACGGTCCCTCCTGGCAGGTGCTGAAGTCACCTGGAGCCTCCAAGCCCGTGGGGCCTGAGGGGCGGGGTCAGGTCGGGCACGCGTGGGTGGGCGGAGTTCTGCGCCCGAGCCAAGGCGGGCACTGGGGAGAGAACAAGTCAGCTCGGGAGGGGACCACGGGGACCCGTCCCGGGGCGGAAGAAAAGGTGGGAGGGAGAGCGCCTCGTGGGCGGAGGCGGCGATGGGAAGAAGGTGGGGCCCTTGGTCCCGTCCTCCCGAACGCCTAGCGAAAAACGCAGCGGGTTCTGTGGCCTGGGGGCAGAGCAGAGCGTTTCGGGAAGGGCGGGCCCTGCGTCCTCGCGCCCGGGGTCGCCTGGCAGCTCCCCTGCGTCCAGAATCCCCCCACGCCAGGCCTGCGCCCGCCCCTTCGCCTGAGCTCCGCGCGGGACGGGCCGGGAGGCCGGGGTGGGCGCTACCTTCGGAGGTGGTGGGTCCGCCCCGCGGGAGGCGACGGGGACGGGAGGGGCGGACCCCTCTGGTCTCGGGAGGGCTTGGGAATCGCCGTCGCCCCTCCCCCATCCGGGCCCCGCGGCGCAAAGGGCAGTGGCTTTTCTGGCCAGAGCAGGTGGCCCGGGCGTCGCGAAGGGTGGTCCCCCAGGCCTCAGCGGTGTGGGGGGAGGGCGCGGTCCCCCTTACTCCGGGTTCGTCCGGGCCTGGCCCGCCCCCCTCGCTCAGCGCCCCCTCCAGCCCCTGCGCTCCACTGGCGCGGGGAGCGCCGGGCCCCCGGCTGGGGCTTTGGCAGAGGGTCCCACCCTCTCCCCGCCTCCCCGCGAAGGCTCAGGCGGACCCAGATCTCGGGTCGCCGGACGCCCCAGGGACTCCGCCCGCACATCGCGAGCGCGCCCACCCGGTCACGAGCCCACGCCCGGGTCTCGGAGCCACCCTGCGGCAGTCCCGCCCTGCGTGGCACGCGGGTCCCCCGGGGCGAGGCGCCCCCGCTCGACGTCCGGTCCCGAGCGCTCCCCGGCGCGGAGCCTCGCAGCCCAGCGCCCCACCAGCCCCGCCGGCGCCGCAGACCCCAGCCTCGGGCTGGTCCGACCCAGGCTTGCAATGCGCAGGGTGGGAGAAGGGAAAGCGGCGTCCGCAGCCGGCCCCTGCCCCAGGCGAGGCCAGATGAGGCCTCTGCTCAGACCCCGCCGCCCTAGAAAGCCCGCGGCCCGGGAGCCTACCCGAAATGGTGCTGGCCATGGTGCTGGCGGCGTTTGGGCCTGCAGAGGCTGGAGAGGCGCGAGTGGCGGCCTGAGCTGCAGACGGCTAGTGCTGCAGTGCCGGGGAGGGGAGGGGAGGGGAGGGGAGGGAGCGAGGGCGGGCGGGAGGCGGGCGCGGCGGGAGAGAGAGAGGGAGAGGGAGCGGGAGGGGGGAAGAGAGAGAGAGTTGGGGGAAGGAGGGGGGAGGAGGGAGGGAGAAAGGGTTGAGGGAAGGAGAGAGAGAGACTGCGGGGGCGGGAGGAGGGAGGGAGGAAGAGAGAAAGGAGCAAGCACCTGACTGCGGGAGGGGCCGCGGCCCTCAGAGGGAGAGGGCGGAGGGGGGTGCGAACTGCAACAAGACCCCCACCCTCCAACCGCTCAGGCGGGACAGCTGCTTCCCCAACTTGGCTTTGTGAGGCCTGAGGGTGGGGTGGGGGTGGAGATGAGCTCCCATTTCCCAGGGCAGATGGGACAGGGGCAAGGCAGGAGGGGCAGTTCCCACCCATGGGGTGGGGCTGCAGAGCCGTTCGAGGAGGCTGCTGTAAGCTGGGCTGGTGCCAACAGGGTCCAGGTCTGTGCCTGCCATCAGAGAGGATGCCATGGCCGCAGGGGTGGGCGCTGGCCTGGAGGCCTCCAAGGGGCATCTCCTGTGAGCCCAGGGGATGGGCAGGATCTGAGCAGAGGAGAGTGAAAGTGGAGGGGTGAGGCCAGAACAAAGGCTTTGCGGTGAAACAGAGGTGGGCTCCCGCCTCCGCTCTGACCTTCACTCGCTGTGTGGCCCAGGCCAAGGGCAAGCGCCTGACCTCACTGGATCTTTGTTTCTCAGGGTAAGATGAGACAATGAGGCCCCTAGATGATGGAGGAGGGGTGCCAGGGTTGTGTGCATTTAGTGAGTGGGGGGCAACCTATCCTGCCCCTGTCCTCGTAACTCCCAAACGGAAGTGACGACAAATGGAGCGTCATTCCCATTGCAGGGATGGAGCCACCGAGGCAGGGAGAAGTGCTTTGCCCTACAAGCAACTAGGTCATAGGGCCAGGAGCAAAACCTTGAAAACCTCAGCAGACTTGCAGAGCCATGAGGCTGGCTCAGCAACACAAAAGCCGGGGGCAAGCCTCAGCTCTAGCAGTGCACTGGGAGTACCCAAGGCCTGTCACATCCTAGGGTGGCCTGGAGACTCCTGACCCCTGGTGTGCAAGCCAGCATCGTCCCCGGGACTGTGAGTCTGGTGGAGGTGATGCCCAGGAGGGTGACACTGTGTGGCTCAGAGGTACCCTTAAGACAGAAGGATCATCAGGCAGGCCCTGACCTCATCACAGGAGCCCTTTAAAAGCAGTTTCCTTTGCCTGGTTGAAGAAATTGGGGGGATCAAAGCAAAGAAGGTTCTCTGCTGTTGAGACGAGGGGACACGTGGCAAGGATCTGAGAACTGCTCCCAGCCAACAGCCAGCAAGACGACAAGACCTTAACCGCAAGGAAGTGAGTTCTGCCAACAAGAAGAGAATGGGCTTGGAGGCAGGTTTGACCCCAGGGCCTCCACACAAGAAATCAGCCCAGCTGCCCACTTGGTTTCAGCCTTGGGATACTAAGAATTAGGAGGTAATAAATGAAGGTTGTTTTAAGCTGTTGGGTTTGTGGTGATTTGCTATGAAGCCATATCGAACTAATATACACACAGAGGTGCTGGCCCCGGGGCTATTCTTAGGAACCCACCTAGGAAGGAGGAGGAAGGGCGGAGAGGCACACACAGCTGCCCACCACAGCAGCCGCGTCCTCCCTGTTGGCCACCACAGTGGCAGTTGGGGATGGTCAGCATCCTTCAGGCAGACTCCAGCCCTGGGTGCTGGAACTCAGGTGCTAAGGATCAAGAGTAGCCCTCTCTGGGACCTCCAGAGTCTTCTCATGTGGGTGGGGCAGGACCCACCCCGTCAGGCTCAGAGGACTGCAATGCCTCACACTCACTGTGACTCTGACCAGGCCCTCTCTGAGCCTCTGTGTCCTCATCTGGAGCACAGGGACCAGGTGTGTGGAAGCCCGTGGCATAGCGCCAGGAACACAGTAGATGGGCACAGTGTGCACTAGCAGGCACACACAACAGGGGTGCTGACGGTCAGCACCCTAGCAGGCACACACAACAGGGGTACTGACGGTCAGCACCCTAGCAGGCACACACAACGGGGTACTGACGGTCAGCACCTTAGCAGGCACATGCACCAGAGGTACTGACTGTTAGCTGTACTGACAGCATGCTAGCAGGCACATGCCATAGGTGTACTCTCAGTGTACTGGCAGGCACCTGCAATAGGAGTACTGACAGCATGCTAGCAGGCACACAATAGGTATACTGTTAGTGCATTAACACACACAATAGCTGTACTGACTGTTTGCCCCAATATAGTGCCAGGTCTTGGAGCAGATTTTGACTTCTCACCAAGATCAAATGCAGAAAGTGCATGAGCATTTCAAAGATGTTTTTCACATGCACACCAGTGCTAATTAAAAAAAATGTTTTGGGCCGGGCGCGGTGGCTCACACCTATAATCCCAGCACTTTTTGAGGCCAAAATGGGCGGATCACGAGGTCAGGAGATCGAGACCATCCTGGATAACAAGGTGAAACCCCGTCTCTACTAAAAATACAAAAAATTAGCCAGGCGTGGTGGCGGGCGCCTGTAGTCCCAGCTACTTGGGAGGCTTAGGCGGGAGAATGGCGTGAACCCGGGAGGCAGAGCTTGCAGTGCACCACTGCATTCCAGCCTGGGCGACAGAGGGAGACTCCGTGTCAAAAAAAAAAATGTTTTGGCTGGGTGCAGTGGCTCACACCTGTAATTCCAATACTTGGGAGGCCAAGGTGGGCAGATCACCTGTGGTCAGGAGTTTGAGACCAGCCTGGCCACCATGGTAAAACCCCATCTATCCTAAAAATACAAAAATTAGCCAGGTGTGGTGGCAGATGCCTGTAATCTCAGCTACTTGGGAGGCTGAAGCAGGAGAATCACTTGAACCGGGGATGGGGAGGTTGTAGTGAGCCAAGATCATACCACTGCACTCCAGCCTGGGCGACAACAGCAACACTGTCTCAAAAATATGTATATATATATTTTTTTCATAAAGTGTGACTTTTATCAGACCTCTGCCCTCTTGAAATTAACCCTGGCTTGGCTGGGTGTGGTGGCTCACGCATGTAATCTTAACACTTTGGGAGGCTGAGGCGGGCGGATCACAAAGTCAGGAGTTCAAGACCAGCCTGACCAACATGGTGAAACTCCATCTCTACTAAAAATACAAAACTTAGCCGGGTGTGGTGGCTGGCGCCTGTAATCCCAGTTACTCAGGAGGCTGAGGAAGCAGAATCGCTTGAACCTGGGAGGTGGAGGTTGCAGGGAGCCGAGATCGCACCACTGCACTCCAGCCTGGGCGACAGAGCAAGACTCTGTCTCAAAAAAAAAAAGAAAAGAAAAGAAAAAGAAATTAACCCTGGCTCCTAGGAGGAGCCCTATACCTCAACAGAACACTCAGTCATTCAACAGACATCTGTCAAGCACCTGCTGTATGCTGGAGCTGTGGCTACATTAGCAATTAAAGGAGAAAGGCAAGGGTACAGGAGTTCCTGACTGCCCAAGGCCAGAATGCTCCTCTAGCAGCTGGCAAGAAGCAGATGACTCAGACTACAGTTCAGTCCACAGGACAGCCTTTTCTGGTCACTGCTCTTAGGAGATGGAGTGTGTGGCAGCAAAAGGTAAAACTCCTGGCTCCTGGGCAGACTCTGGGCAATCTGCTCAATGCCCTGTGCCTCATTTTTTCACACAGAAAGTGTGGACAATGAGAGGACTTATCTGGCTCACACCTGTAATCCCAGCACTGTAGGAGGCTGAGGTGGGTGGATCACTCGAGGTCAGGAGCTCGAGACCAGCCTGGCCAACGTGGTGAAACCCCGTCTCTACTAAAAATACAAAAATTAGCCAGGCATGGTGGCAGGCGCCTGTAATCCCAGCTACTCGAGAGGCTGAGGCAGAATTGCTTGTACCCCAGAGGCAGAGGTTGTAGTGAGCCAAGATTGTGTCACTGCACTCCAGCCTGAGGGACAAGAGCAAAACTTAGTCTCAAAAAAAAAAAAAAAGAAAGAAAAAAAGAAAAAGAGAGGACTTATTCCAGAGGTCATCCAGAGGAGAAGTGTGTCAATCATTTGCCGAATCTCACACTGCTATTAAGATACTACCTGAGGCCGGGTGTGGTGGCTCACACCTGTAATCCCAGCACTTTGGAGGCCAAGGCAGACGGATCACCTGAGGTCAGGAGTTTGAGACCTCCCTGGCAAACACGGTCAGACTCCATCACTACTAAAAATATAAAAAATTAGCCAGGCTTAGTGGCGCGCACCTGCAATCCCAGCTACTCGGGAGGCTGAGGCAGGAGAATTGCTTGAACCCAGGAGGTGGAGATTGCAGTGAGCCAAGATTGTGCCACTGCACTCCAGCCTGGGCAAAAAGAGCCAAAACTCTGTCTTAAAAAAAAAAATCATGGCAGAAGGTGAAGTCTGTGTTAGTCCCAGTTCCCAGGTCTTACATGGCAGCAGCAGAAAGCGAGAGAGAGAAGGGGAAACTGCCACTTTTAAACCATCCGGTCTCCTGAGCACTCACTATTATGAGAACAGCCTGGAGGAAACTGACCCCATGATCCAATCACCTCCCTCCAGGTCCCTCCCTCCCTCCACACGCGGGGATTACAGTTCGAGGTGAGACTTGGGTGGGACACAGAGACGAGCCGTATCAGCACGTATGGGGGGCACTGAAACTGGTGGTGCCCATTCATTCCACAAGCCTGTGTGGCTGGTCTCCTCGTCTTCCACTCCCTGCCGGGTCTCAGACGGGCAGCCCGCGGTTCCTTCACCCGAACAGGCACACGGGGCTGGGTGCCAGTGAGTGCTGGGGCTTCTCCGAGCACTAGCTCACACCCACGAGCATGGGCACGCAGGGCATCGCCTGTGCCGTCCGTGGACATGAAACCCAACCGTGCGCGGTCACGCAGCGCCAGCTTCCTCCTGGGGCCTTCTGGGGCCGCCTGAGACAAGCATCCCTCACGCTGGGCTGACCCCACAGAACTGTGCGGGCCTCGCTCTTGGGGTCCGCCCTGCTGCCAGCCAGGGCCGGGTGCTGGGGACTCAGGGAGGCCGCCGGCGCCAGTGCGGGGACAGTGACCCGAGCAGCTGGCCAGAGCAGGAGAGGAAGGAGAGGAGGCGGTCAGGGCTCTCAGGACCCGGGTCCTGGGCAAGGGGCAGCCATTTTCAAATTTTCAGGAAAGCGGTCAGCTCACACTTGAGCGACGAGGCCCGTGCAGCTCTCCGGGCAACGGTGGTGGCTCGGCCTAGAGAGGCGGTAGTGGCACGGAGACCCTGGTGGGGGATGACATCAAGGAAGGAGACGGGCGGGACCCCAGATTTCTGCCTGTGGGCGATGGGAGTGAGGTTCACTGGGCAGGGCAGCCGCACACAGAACGCGCGAACGGCCCCGTAGGCCTGGAGGAGCCGAAGAGCAGGCGGACCCCCTCCGCGGGGGAACAGTTTCCGCCGGGAGCACAAAGCAGCGGACCGGAAGTGGGGGCGGAAGTGCAGTGGGATCAGTGGCGATGCGCGCGTCTGCCCGCGAAGTCTGAACTGGCTGATAGCTGGGGACGC